CAGAGGTCCTTTCCAACACATCTGATTCTATGATTCTCTCACTCCAGCAATGTGTCTCAGATGCCACCTACAGAAACAACCTCCAAAGAGAGGAGTAATTAGTGCTTGGTCCCTTTTCTGAGGTTATCAATACAGGCACCAACTATACCATTTACTTTACCTCTATGGAGAGGAGTGAGCTGGACTAACTGAACTCTTAAACATCATAGGTTCATAGAATGGTTTGGGTTGGAACAGACCTTAAGAGATTGTCTAGTTCCAACTCCTCTGCTATGAGCAGGGAACTTTCCACAGACCAGGGCCTGGCTTTGAACACTTCCAAGGATGGTGAGTCCACAACCTCTCTGGACAACCTGTTCCAGTGCCTCACCACCCTTAAAGTAGAGTTTTTCCTAATATGTAATCTAAATCTACTACTCTCCTTCAGCTTAAGGCTATTCCCCCTTGTCCTATCACTCCATGCCCTTGTGAAAAGTCTCTCATACTCTCTTGTAGGTCCCCTTTAGGTACTGGAAGTGGCTCTAAGGTCTCCCCAGAGCTTTCTCTTCTCCAGGCTGAACAGCCCCAGCTCTCTCAGCCTGCCTTTATAGGAGAGGTGCTCCAGCCCTGTGATCAACTTAGCGACTCACCTCTAGACTCATTACAACAGGTCAACATCTTTCTTGTGCTGGGGCCTCAGAATTGGACACAGTACATCAATTAGCTGGGAATTAGAGGAACTACTTGTTCCTTCTCTGCAGAGACAGCTCTGAACCACAGACACTGAAACACCCAGCTGCTTGCAGCTCCTTTAGGGCACTGCCCTTTTCCACTAATGAAGTTATTTAAAGAATGGCACACTGTGGCTGCAACAGCTCCCGTGTGGTAGCATCTGGTAATATGGGATTACTGCAGCAACTTCAACACAGGTGTATCACCTTTCAGTCACCAGCACTGAAGGTTTAGTCATGGTCTGGAGAATTTGATACATGAACTCCTGCCTCTACTCTCTACATTGCAAGTAACAGAAAATAAGGCCCTGGGAGTTTGTCATGATAGCTCTCTGAAAGTTCTGTGCTGCTGCCAGTCCCCAAGGCATCATGACAAATTGTACATGGATCCAAATCCTCTTTCTTCAAGTGAAAGGAATTTTTTTGTTAGTCTTAAATATTCTCAGCTCAGAATTGCTTTGGATTAGGTAATCAAATTGCAATGAGTACCCTGAATGAGTGATGGACATTATGGTTGATGCCCATTGACCAGTTGAGACCTGGGTTATGCTGATGTGAGAATACTTTTGTTGCACAAAAAGGGCATTAAAGGAATGGAAAATCTGTTATCTGAAGTGGCCACATCTCCAGCTGGAGATGGCACAATGGAGAAAGAGTTCATTAATATATTTTTGCATCCCAAATACTGGTCTAACTTTTGATTACCACTCCTGCACAGGTGAGAGCAGCTCAAAGTTACTTTGTTCTCTCTGAGGACCTTTTATTGCTGCTGGGTCCATGACTGCAAAGGAATGCCCTAATCATTCCTCTCTCCCAGGCATAAAATTGTGCTAACCTAAAATCACTGTTGCTGCTTTCTGACAGACAAAATTCTCTGTATAGGAGTCCTCAGAGGGTAGATCTACTAGATTTAAAATGCTTCTGAGAAACATATAAAATGTATTTTGTATATCTGTGAAGAGCAGAGAATTGAGATCCATTACATAAAAGGTCCAGGAAGAGTTGTCTTCCAAAGGGCCAAAACCTCATATAATGGGATATGGTTGCAGGGAAATCGAGGGGAACCATGTCCATGAATCCTTCTGCTCAAGCTTTAGAGCAAAAGAAGAGTTCTTTTTTGATACTTCATTATCAGGATGAGGACTAATTATCCAGGCTGTATAGGAAGGACAAGAATACATTAAATATGACAGAATATTAGTCTCTGTTGTCTTTTATCTCTTCTCTCTCCTATTTTTTTTCTGACTTAGAGACAAGACACAGCTGAATGAACTTATCTTTTTCCAAAGAACAGGAGAGATGGGGCTAGGATTCAGGGGGAGCCTCCTAATAGAAGGAATATCATCTGTCAAGCCAATCTAAAATAACAGTGAAAATGAAAATGAACACTCCACAAGCAATGTTTCCTATGATGAGTGGGTTTATTTTCACATTTGTTCACGCACAGTTACCTAAAGCTTTGGCACAACAACTGCAGACAGGGCATTATCTATGATAAATTGTTGGATTTCAATGTTCACTTCTCTCATTGATTGACTAGATTTTGGCTGCAATATCCTTCTGGACATATTTCAAGACCTGTTTGTTTTCAATGGTTTTGGCAGATGGCTGTATAAACTCCAAGTCCCATGATTATGATTCATTTCTGTGTGAATAATTTTGGTTATCAAGTTTGATTATATCTCTATGTGTTTTTACACTATTCACGTTTACACTGAGTGCATTCAGAGCCGGAGTTGTGCTTACCCAAGTAATATTTTTTTGCTAATGAGCAAAAAACTACAGATTAACATTTTCTTTTTTTATATGTTTAATATTTTGCTTATTTTTTAATGTCTATTATATTCTTCTTCAGTTACACATCACGGTTCCTTTATTTTATTTAAGTATTTAAATGTTTCCTATTTTTTCCCAGAAATTCATGTTTAGCTATTGCTTCATTTTGCTTTTGTGGGGTCTGGCATTTCATATGCTAATGCATGGTGAAAATAAAAACCCTTTGGAGCCTTTCTGACTACTTGTATATCCCCATTTCTCTTCCTGCAGAAACAGAAATATCAGACATGCCATTGCAATCAGAGTCCTCTTTGGATGATTACCTTCCTCCCCAAATGCCAGATTCATTATGGAATACTTACGAATTTCTGTGGAAAATGATTTCATTCTATCACGCAAGCTTCTGTCCTTCTAAGTAATACTATTGCACCAGGCTGGATGGGACTGAACTGGAAAGGGCTGCTGGTCTAATCAGGCATGATAGGGAGCAACAGAGAACACTTTTGAGCAAAGAGAGGACAATGTTTGAAAGCTTCTGTTTCCAACATCACACAGCAGGACTGATGGGCCGATTCAAAATGGACATAAACACTCACAGACAGACTCTCTCATCTCAGAGATGGAGTTCAGTGCTACCCACAGGAGCTGTCTGCAGGCAGACCTGCCAGGTTGCCTCGGTGGCAGTGAGGCCTGACTGGGCTTTGGTGGGGATGGAAAGCATCAAGTCAGGGCCAGCCACAAATGGCTTTTTTATTTTAGCTCTTTTGGGCATTTTCTGTTTATCAGGCGTGGTGTACAACCAGCACATTGATCTGATGAGCACAATAAAATTCTGCTGGGGCCTGTTGAGTTAACCTGTCTGTAAAGCAGGAGGGGGTGGCTGATAGTCTGAAATCCAAGGAAAGCTGGTGCAGCCACGGCATTCAGCTCTCAGAAGATGTGAGGGCTGGCTGCTACATGAGAGGATGTACGTGAGAGGTTTTATCTGAGCAACTCAGACACCCATGTTCCTTTCTCTCCTGCTCTGTTGTAAGGCAGTCTTCAAATAAAGGTTATAAAAGGAAAGCCATCTGTATGTAAGTTTGGGCTGACAGAAGAACTTCTTGAAAAATTCAGTGTGGATTGGGGAGGACAGAAACTATGCATAGGAATGACATTTTTCCATCAGATTTATTAGTTTATAATGTAAGTTACCATGCAAGAAGCAATTTACAAGCATCAGCAAAGATTCAATTGCTTTCTTATATATCCCCCAAAGCCCTACTTGAAAAAAAACCAACCAAACAAAACACAATCCTTTAATGGAGATAAGTCTTACAAAGTTTTAAGGATGCCCTAAGCTTTTAAAAGGTTGAACATTCAAAATTAAGGCGCTAAGGTAAAATTGTTAGATCTTTGTCAATTACAGAAAATCACAGGAAGAATATCCAACAGACTTTAACTTCTGCTCATGATTTCATTAGTCTTCACATTTATCTAGCTATATTATCCAGAGCAGGCTTTCTCCATACTAGGCCTGGGGAGAATATTCCCAAAGAGAGCAGGGTTGTCTCTAGAGAGAAGACCTGCCTGTTGAAGAAAGGTAAGCACGGGGGAATTATGGGGCTGTGCATGTGTTTGTGAGCATGTGGAGATGAGATTTACACGTGTTCAGGAGATCTGTAGCCAGAGGAACAAGGCTTTCCCAACTCCTGCTCTTTGCAGATCGTGCCAGTTCTACTTCCCTTGGTTTGGCCTAAGTTCGAGACACGGAAAAAGGAAAAAGGGTTGCAGTGCCTCAGCAACCCCTTGAAGAGATTATATGGAAGTATGAGAGGTAGAACATCTCTGTTTTTACTGGAAAACTTTCACAAAGCTCAAATTGTGAAGAGGCATTAGTAGCGATGCAGCAAAAAAGGTTGGTAGCTACGAGGAAGGGCTACAAAGCAGAAAATGGAGAGAAGGAAAGCCACAAAAGAAGCGAGGTGATGAGGTTAAATCTGGGAGAATGAACTAATTGTGTGACTGGGGAAATGGGACTGAGGACATGGGAGAGGGTTGAGGGATGTCAGAGGAACAGGAGTCATGCTGAATAGTGATAGGGAAAGCAGAGAGAAGTGAGACATCAGGGAAGAGTAGAAGAGAAAAATTCCATAAATGTGGAGTTGAAAGACTGTCAAAGCAAAAAGGTATGCATTTTCCAGACAAATCTAAGTGAGTATCAGGGCCAGGAAGCAGTAGGCTGTTTATGTGTACATTTTTCTTCCCAAACCTACCAGTAAGCCTGTTTTTAATTAAAACAGAAACATAAGGCTTTGGATGACTTTGCACTGCTCTGTAATACATTCGTGGTGGTCTTCTCTTAAATGAACACATCCACCACTGTCCTGCAATAACGCTGAATTTGTCTGAAACCCTCTTATGGTGGTTAATTGCTAACTTGGATCTTGTTACTGATACACTCCTATGACAAAGGTCACATTCCTAATGACAAAAGTAAAGAAAAGAAGGTAGTAACATGGTGTCGACGATGCAGTTGAATTTTACTCTTGTTTCAGAGCTTAGGGTTTATTCTAGCTATCAGGCCTCTTCTAGTCAAAACAAAATAAGAATTCTCCCTCTGCTCTTCAGAGAGAGAGTTAGAATTAATTATCTCAATGCATTCTAGATGCCTGTGCATAAATATCATTTCTGAATGCTTGCTTGTGATGAAAACTGCTCGTTGTGTTTTACAGGTACTTCAGCTTCTTCTCCTTCTCTCCTTGGCTCTGATTTCTCTTCCATTCTCTTATGAGACTTGCTTTTTCTCAAATGCAATCTTTCTCTTTCTCGTCTCTCCTTCGCGCCTTCAGGCTGCTAAAAGGCAGGGAAGAAATATCTGGGAATTAAAAGTGACTCCTACACGAATTAAAAAAAAAAAAATAAAGGCAAGCTCATCATTTTATTTCACTAGTATTGTATAACAAAAATATTCCAGTAACCTGTCTCAGCATGATCAGCTCTACCATGATGGGCTCAAATTCAAGGCCCAAGCCAGTCACCCTAAAACTCAGCAAGAAGCAACAAACATGCCTTGATTATACTCTGTGTATGATAGAAGGGTCACCTGCCCAGCAGACTTGAGTGGGGGAGCAGATAGGAGGGAAAAACAGAGGGGCTCAAAGATTTCAGCCCAGACTCCATGTTTCTGTCCTTTGACATAATCCATCTGGTTTGAATTGCACACACAGAGCTCTGATTGCAAAAAAAAATGCTCCATTTGGAGACACAAATCTAAGCTCAAATTTCTTTTCAAATCTCTAACACCTCTTGTTCAGTTCTCTGAGATCTACAATAACTTCACATCTCTCAAATGTCAGTGGTGACTGAGGGAATGACAACGACTTGATCTACTTGAAAGACAGATTAAAATAGAGCTCAGCACATGCCACTGTGGATTACAGGAGGGTACAGGAGTGCATGTTTTAACTGGAACTGATGTCATATTTAGTACATTATGCTCACTATACATATCATACAATTATTACACACTCATAGACTTTCTAGCCATAGGCATTTTTGAGAAATTAGAAATGATAAACCAGACAACCACTAGTGAGCACTGGCACATGAGGCAATGTGAATTTCCAAATGAAATAAATTGAGTAGCTCCTAAAGGGGAAAAAGGATCAGAGAATGCACTTAAAATCTTGACAATGGCATAACAGTGCTGTCATCACCATAATTCTACATATTCTTAGAGGGCTGGTCATACAAGGACTAATTGTGGAACTGATCATGTAAAAATGATGCTTATTGAAAAGAGATTTTTTTCCTCTCTTTTGCTGCATATAAGGTCTGCAAAGAGAGATGAAAATTACTTTTCCATACAACCTGTCAGTGTCAACAAGCTGGAAAAAAGAAAAGATACTTCCTTCTATGGCTATCTGGTGACAAAGTCAAGTGTTATTCAAGAACATTTTTGAATGTGGTGACAATTTGATAGTGTTCTGGTATGTAAAAGTGAATTAGGATTTATCACCCTTCCTTCCACTGTATGATACAGCAGATAGTAAGTATCATAATTACAAAAATGTGTTAAAGTGTCATAGACAAAAGGTTGTTATTGGCTACTTCCTCAACACAAACCATACAAAAAATGGTCTTGTCTCAGGACAGAATGATGGGGAAAAGAATGAAATGGGGGGAAAATCCCCTGCTGCCTGCATGCCCTTACAGTGAAATTATGTTCAGCCACTTATAGCAATAGCTGCTGCCGTAGCAGCGTGGTGACACTGCAGAAAGCAGGTGGATGGAGTCCCAAGGGGTAAAAGAGAAAGAAGCCTCTCAAACACTGCAGTGCCTGGCAGTCTTACAGATAATACCATATAGGTTAAACCAGGTCAGCAGCAGTGAGAAAGTGAGCTGGGTCTCATGGCATAAGTGAAGCAAACCTGGTTTTATTTTGTCATGTTTTGTTGTCATAGCCATAAAAACCTCTGAAAATATTGCCACGGCCAGTGCAGTACCTCATTTTGAGGATAAATATTTCTGAATAAGCCTAGATGGCAACACTACATCAAGAATCCTCACACCAATGATACAATTTTAACCTTGTTTGTGCTACTGTTTGTAGTCATTTGAGACAACATAATGTGAAAAATTCTAATCTAAATTAATTTCTACACTGTCTCCAGCAAAGTCACAGCAATTACACGAAGGACAAAGCTGGCTCAATTGTTGGTTGATTGGGCTCTTTCTTATGTAGTCTATATACAAAGTTAGTTGTTACCTACCAAAGAAACTGAGCGCTTGCTTTTGAGATGCAATTGCTTTTCAAAGGACTCTGCAAATTCCTGAATGGAATTTGATCTTGTGTCTGGGCCTGAGCTGTCTGCTGAAGGTGTTCTGCTTGCCTTCCTGTGGCAGTGGCATTTGACATCTTGGTCTTCTTGAAATTCCTTGGAGCCCTTGAGATGGCCTGAAGATGAGCCTCTGGCAGAATCATGAAGTCGTGTTGCATGGAGGGAGGAAAGCTTGGCCTGAAAAACAAAAGGTCTTTGATGAGTACTGAATATTAAAGCAAAACACACAAGGCAGATTTTTTTTTCTGCCACAAAGGTTCTCCCAGCAGTGGTGCAGAGTGAAGAACCTTGCCCAGAATGCTGTGTCTTTCCTCATATGTGCAGGAGAATCACACTGCCAAGAACTTGCTTTTCTGGAGGTAGCAGCAGCAGAGTTTCCTATTATTCTTGTCTTTGAGTATCTAAGCTTTGGCACCCAAATGAGCATTTCAAATGTAAAGTTGCTGGGTCCTCTTAGAGTTCACTGGCACTAAAAGGAACTGGAACCATTCACAACCACAAAAATTCAGGCCTTGATTTGGCTGCAGTTTCTGGGCAGGAATCTCAAAAATCAAAAACCAAGCCTTTTGTAAATGAGGACACAGATACTGGGTTTGACCTGTGGGTGCTCCAATCTTTATCAGATGTGTGAGTTAATTTGAGTGTGACAGCAACCATTTCTAGCCCAGTTCTGTCAAATTTTCAGCATGCAGACAAGAAGCTTTATTGTCCAGCTTTTAATTTTCTGCTGGTTTCTTGGGCAC